AAGAATACTATTTGTAAGTTGAGGTTCCTTAAATCTGAAATATACATGGAAATGAACAGCCCATACTCTATCATGCTTTCCTGAGGTGCAGCATGGGAATTTTAACACCCAGGTGACAATTCCAGGGCCAATGTTCATCAAATGACCTCCCCCATCTCTGTTGTTAAGTAATTTGAGTGGGTTCTGACTCATAGCGACCACGTATAGGGTTTCCGATGAGTGGCTGGTGAGTTTGACCTGCCAACACTGAGGTTCAAACTGACCTTGCGGTCCAGCACATCAACCCACCTGTACATGTGCATTGACAAAGTGGCATAAAAATCTGTGTTTAAGAATCATCTTCCTTGCTTCCCCGTGCCTAAGGCATTATACAAAAGAAAGTTAGGAAAGGGGTGATTTTTCATTACTCCCATCATGGGCTCACTTTTCTGCAATAACTTGCAATAACTGCTCAGAGTCCCATGAAATACCTAGCCACAAAGGTAACCTCTTTTGAACCAACGACATCAGAGATGAGGACCTAGAGAAATATAGCAGCTGAGGACTCATGGAAAGAGAAAGGCTGTGTGCTGACAGCCAGAAGGCAGGCTTGCAGAATGTGTCCTTTGATTGTTTAAATGATTGTATATTCCTGAGTGTTTTTGTGTACATCCCTCCCCCCGCAACAAAACAGAGGGAATAGAAGCAAATACTGTTGAATGCTCATGCATGGAGGACACTGTAGTCATTGCAATGAAACCATGAGTATAAAACTGATATTTCCCAATGTAAACTATCACTCAATTCACAATAAAAACTTTTAAAAGACCAAAAGGGGTAATTTATTTTTTTACAAAAACACATGTGCTATTGTTGATGATGGGAAAAGGCTGATGCTGGGTCACCCTTAATTTAATTTCTTAAAGCCAAGTTTCAGAGCTGCGATGAGCCAGTCATTATAGATTATCTAGTTCATTTCCTCATTTAAGGATGGGGCATCTAGAGCACTTGCGGGAACCAAGACAGATGTAAAAGTACGGTGTACGTACAGTTAAAGAGATATAGTTATGGTTCAAGTCCAACTTTGCCATTATAAACACATTCATAACATTCACCAACCTTTGCCCACATACCGAGAAAAATCATCTGGCTTTTAATCATCTGAGCATGGCTCAGCGTGAAGTCCTTAATAAATAAGGCCCAACCACAGACAACCAAAGAGCTCGACTGGTCATTTTAATGAAAATGAATGTTCTTGTCCCCCATTTCATGACTCTCTTTGGGTTCCTGGATTTTAACTCCCACTTCTTCCTTCACTGACCACGTGCACATAACCATTTTAAAATAAGCTGCAAGGCAGTGGTGGGACCAAGGTGCCCAACCTTAGGGTTTCTGAGCCTAATCTTTACAGACTCATCTTTCTCCCGAGGAGTGACTGGTGGGTTTGAACCACAGACCCAATGCTTAGCCTAAAGCGCCACCAGGGCTCCTTGTAAGCAGGTATGGGGAGCTAAATAACTGTGCCATCCCAGCTCAGCAGGGTATAAGTGTTTGTGGAAACTTTGAGCTCCTTGCTCTCTGAAATACTCAATACTTTGCTTCTGTATTAAATACAATGGGGGCAGAGGGAAGGGCGTTTAAGGAAAGGATAATTTAGATGTTGCACCCCCAGCATTTCAGTCAAAAGCTGGTCTCCCCCACCTCATGTAAACTATCACTCAATTTACAATAAAAACTTACCAAAAAAAAAAGGCCGGTCTCCCTCAGGGTTTGAACTAGAGGCCTGAAACTCCAAGCTGGGCCACAGATATCCCTGAGGCCAAATGCTTGCAGGCACACTTTTTCACAAGTTTATGTAGGGAACCAAAAAAAATATGGGAGGGAAAAACCCAACGTTAAAGACACTGCCCCCAAAGTGCCTCTACGAAGAGGCCCCTGCACACTTGACCGGCCAGGGGGCTTGGGCCAGTGGTGGGGGGCAGGTGCAAGTGGGGGATGAATCTCTTCCGCCTCCAATGACTTCAGGACCTAGGCCCCTGGGGTTGGTTCCCTGAGTGATGCACACCACTCAAGTCCTCAACTGCTAACCAAAAGGTTGGTGGTTCAAATTCACCTAGAGGCGGCTTGCAAGAAAGGCCTGGCCATGAACTTTCCAAAAAAAATCAGCCTCTGAAAATCCTACAAGAGCACAGTTCTACTCTGACACCTGTGGGGTTGCCTTGAGTGAGAGCTGATGCAAATACAACTGGTTTGATGAGGACTGACTTTTTAGGTAATTACATTTCCCCAGGAGATGGGTTTGTCTTCTCCTTTAAAGTCTCAGAAGCTCCCCGGGGTTCAGTGGAATTTCTGAGAGTCCCCAGGTATCCTCAAAGTAAAAGCAAACTGCTATAACCTTTGTGAAAATCCCTTACTCAATCCGGCTCAACTACCTCTGCCTCTGAAAAGCTGCCCTCTCAGACCATAGGGCTTCAATGCCACAGCCTCCTTTCCCACCCAAAGACAGCCCAACAGGACAAGACACACACGGCTGTTGTTCCTGCCAGACACCGCATTCCCACCTTGGTATTTTTGTTTGCAAAATATATTTTAGATATTTGTCACCATGCACTCCAATTCCATTTCTATTTTACTCTAGAAACTGCTCAAACATGAACAGACAAAAACACTTGGGTCATCTTGTTTCTCTGCAGGGAGAGACGTTAAAGGCGTTCTGCCAGGGGCACCTCATTTTACTTCTCGAACATGTGTGCCCTTCATTTAGCAGAGTGTTGCCATAACTAATCAAAACTGAACTGCACCTGTTAAAAATCAAGCCATAACTTCTCATTAGGCAACCTTCATTTCCCAGCATATTTGTAATCACTAATTCTGATCTGTAAAGACCCCCATAATGAAGAGGTTGGTGCCATTTAATTAGCAACAGATAACCTCTGGAGACTCTCTGAGGATCACTCATTCATTTTTCTTATTTACAAGTCTCATTTCATTGACAAAATTATTCGTTAACCATCAAGATTTTGACCACCATTCTTATACTTAAATTATCTAGGGTGCTATTGCTGTTCCAACTCATAGTAACCCTGTACACAACAGAAGGCCACACGGCTGTCCTGCACCTTCCACACAATGCTTGCTGTTTGCAGTCACTGGGTCAGTCCATTTCCTTGCAGGTCTTCCACTTTTTTTTTTTGCTGACCCTCTACTTTGCCAAGCATGTTCTTTCTCCAGGGACTGGTCCCTCCTGATGACATATCCAAAGTACATGAGACCAAGTTTCACCATTCTTGCCTCTCAGGAGTATTCCCATTGTACTTCTTCCAAGATCTCTTCATTCTTCTGACAATGCACAGCATAGGCAATATTCTTCACCAACACCATAATTCAAAAGCATCAATTCTTCTTGGGTCTTCTTTATTCACTGTCTACCTTTCCCATGCCTATGAGGTGATTGAAAATATCATAGCTTGGGTGAAGTGCACCTTAGTCCTCAAGGTGACATCTTTGCTGTTGAAGATTTTAAACAAGACTTTGGTAGCAGATTGCTCATAGTGTAACCTGTACATAGCCCAAGAGGCAGTTGTTGTAACAGAACAAGGGGATACTGCAAATGATCTTGGTGTGGCTCTGTAGGATAAGCACTGGACTGTTAACTGCAAAGTTGGAAGTTCAAACCCACTAGCTGCTCCTTGGAAACCCTATATGGGGTTGTTATGAGTCGGAACTGACTCAATGGCACTTGCCAACAACAAGTCTTTGGTGTGACATCAATTATGTGAGTTTTCAGAAACTATCTGGTGGTTAGAACAATTTCAGTGGCCACAAATTTTAGTGGTACAGTCCCTTTGCTTCCAACCATCATGTAATGAAATCCTTGTTTATTTACTCTAAACCCACAAAACCAAAAAAAAAAAAAAAGCCAACTGGTATGGATTCAATTGTGTCTCCCCAAATATGTGTTGAAATTCTAACCTCCATGCCTATGGATGTAATCTGATCCTATTTAAGAATGGAGTTCCTTTACCATGTGAATGAGATCGTCTCAAGGAAGTGGGGTGCCTTAACCCTCATCACCTCTGTGTGATAAGAAAACTAGAAGAGACGCAGAAGGTAGCACAACCAGGGGAGAGAGATCCCATGTGGAGATCTACAAGGGTCCCAGGAACACCTGGACTACAGAGGCTGCAAGAAAAAAGGCTCTTCCCCCAAAACTGACACAGAGAGCCAGTATCCTGAATTGGATTACTAAGCTATGAGATGAATCCTGTAAAGCACTGGACCACAAGGTTGGCGGTTCAAATTCACCCGCTGTGTTTCCATAAAGATGGCAGCCAAGAAAATCCCATGGGACGGTTCTACTCTGTCATATGGAGTCGCTAAGAGTCAAGAGTTTACTCAGACTCCCCCAAAGCAATAGCACTGCATGAAACTGAGTTGTTCCCTGATGTTCTGTGACATTCTTCCAAATCCTAAAAGCCGGAGGACTGAGATACTGCCTCTTTCACGTCTGAAGCATGCCCTTTTCATAGTTCACCCTCTAATCCAAGCCCGTGGACTATTTGCTGTTGTTGTTCAACTGTTGTAAATACATGTATAACACATTTGCCAATTCAACATTTTTTAGGCATACAATTTAGTAATTTCAATTCAAGCCCATTGGCTATTAATGCTGTTCAAATAGGGCAACTGTACTTAATGCTTCTCAAATTCGGCTCCAGTTTTCATTTTATAGTCTATAAAGCATATCGAAAGCAGACTCTCAACTTTCAACCCCTATGTTATTAAATTCTCCCCGTATTGTAAAGAACAATGCAGATGGGGATTGTACTTCAGTATGACATGGAAGTCCAGGGCAATTTACAAAGCCATTATGCAAGGCAAATAATCCGGGATGATAATAGTAGACTACATATATATATATATTCACACACGCATTCCTTCTAATGCCTGCCAACTTGGGAGTACTTCATAAAAAGGAGTAAATAAAAATTTAAGAAATAACTTTAGAGACTGGATTCTACCTTATAGCCGCCAATGCGATGTTCCTGTTTAAATTCCTTTCCATTTTTCAGCCACCTCATGGTTGGGGTTGGATTCCCTCCAGCTGGGCAGCGGAACTTGACGGTATTGGCGGCAGGGACAGCGTGTAGTCGTTTCTCCATCTTCTCTGTATTGGTCCAGTACGGTGCTCCTGTTTCAGAAACCAACATTACAATGTATATAAATGGACATCTTCATCGCCACGCTCAAACTCCAAACAGGTTAAAATTATTCTAGTTTTGTATGTGAAAGAGCTGGTATGTGCAACATCTTTCCAAATGAAAGGCAACTCGGTAATGTTTACATTAGAGAAAATCTATTCAAAAGTCTAATCCAGCTGGCCTGACAAAACGTCCCTAGAGATGGACTGCTTATTGGTTTGTGTCAATTAAAGAGGGAAAAACTGTTGGAAGTATTCTCTCTCTTGTTGTTGATGCCAAGAAATAATGTCATGTCGAACCATGCTTGAAAGCGCTATTTTATACACACAGCAACAACACATAGGGTAGCAGCAGCTGAGTTCTCCACAATGTATCATTTTCCAGTCCCCATATCTATTAAATGATCACATATACACATTAGCAAAAGCAGGTTAACCAAACTGCCACGTGAACTTGTCCATAGGAGTTTTACTTTAAATGGTAATTGACAGTAGAAATTATTATCCTAATACAAAAAGAGTAAATTCTAGGGGGCATCACAAATTTCCCAACACACTGAAAAAACTGTGTCACTAAATATATTTAATTTTTTTAAATACCAAATAAAAACCCTTTATTCTTCTCTCCGGAGTCTTGGTGTGGCGCTGTGGGGTTAATGCGCCAGACTGCAAAGCCCTTTGTTTGAACTGCAAGGTTGGCGGTTCAGCTCACCAGTCACTCCTCAGAAACCCTATACAGGGTTGCTATGGGTCGGAGCCGACTCAACAGCACTTAACAACAACAACAACAACAATTTTTCTCTCCAATGATGGTCGTAAACGCTGTAATTCGACCCCAACCCTAAAATGATTAACTTCATAGTTAATTAAATGCTATGCAACTTCATACCCACTGAAGGCAAAGCCATAAATACAAGAGAATTTTTTTTTTTCACACAACAAGAGAGTTAAGTTTTGAAATCACCAAATGAAGGACAGTGTGTCTAAATCCAGCCTCAGTATCATTCTGAAACAGTGCTGTCAATTCTGTGTCGTTGTCAGGTCCCTTGGGGTCAGTTCTGATTCATAAGGACAGACCTACGCACAACAACATGAAACAGTGCTCGGTCCTCCCTGCTGCGTTTCTGCTTGAGCTCACTGCTGTTCCTACCACGTCACTCCATCTCCTTGGTGGTCTTCCTCGTTTTCTGCTGAACCTCTACTTGACCAAGGACTGGTCTCTCCTGGTAACATGCTCAAAGTACATGAGACAAAATCTTACATTCTTGCTTCTAGGGAAGTGTGATGGTTGTATTTCTTTCAACACATACTTGTTTTTTTCTTCTGGCAGCCCATGTTATAATCAACCTACTTTGCCAACACCACAATTCAAACACTTTGTTTAGGCCTGCTATACTGACCAGTACTAACATTCTCATTCACCAAACACTACTCGAAGAGCTGTTACATGTTTAACCCATTCATTTTCACAACAATCCAAAGAGAAAGGCAATGTTACAATCCCTGCTTTACAGAAAGGGAAACCAAGGCTCAGAGAAGTAAGCTGGCCCCGAAAGTCTTGTAGCTTAGGTTGAGAGAAGGGCAGCCAAGATCTGAACCAAGGCAGTTTGACTCCAAAACCCATGTCTTCACTCTCACTAGTGAGAACCAGCTTCTCCAGGGAGTTGCCACCCATACATCCAGCAGATGACCTCCATGAATAACCCACACTCAAGACTGGCGCTCAGGCCAACCAGCCTGGGCCAAAGGCACACTGCTCCTTTATGGGGGTCTAGAACTTCTGCTGAAACATGTACAGCAATTTAGCTTTTCGCATTTCTGTGAAAACAACAGTTCATCTGGATCCCTGTATTCCCCTAAAGCACCTCAACAGGTTCTAGAACATTCTAGAAGACCAAGTCCTAACTGCGCTTATTTCTACTGAAGTTTAGACTGGTTAACACGCACATGGTTCCCCCCTCCATAAACCAGAAAAAATGGCCCTAAGCAGACGCTTTCTCTCTGTGCAGATTTACGTGTGGAGAGGGGACCACACTGACTTGGCTGAACAGCCAGACCTTCGAGGTGCAATTAGGAATGGAAATACTTGCAATCCAGACAACTTCCCGCATTTGCCTGAGCCTCACGCTGAAACCTGCTGTCAAAGAGGGAGCTGGGATTCCCGCATCTTCTTGACATTTTTGTTCATCTCTGTGATGAGGTGGTGGGTCTGGGTGGTGTCTATAGGGCATCAAGAGTCCTGGGGTGTTACAAACGTTTAACACTTCCAACTACCAACTAACTGAAAGGTTGGGATCCCAGGCCACCCACAGGAGTGCCTTGGAAGAAAGATCTGGCGATCTATTTCCAAAATATCAGCAAATGAAAACCCCACGGGACACAGTTCTACGTTGTTATGAGGTGGAAGCCACTCAGTGGTAACTGGTGGCTACATGAAACCAACATTGTGGAAAGAAAAAGAAGGGCAAACCCGCTGTTGGTCACGAGAGCACGAGAAAGACGAGAGACGTATGGGAGCACACAGAGGAGTGTAAGGGGCTACATTTCCCTTCTGGATCCACTAAGGAGGCAGTTTTGGGTGTTGAATGTCTCTAACACACCTTTTTGTAGGGCTCCCCAGGGTGGGCTCCACAAGGTGGTGGTTCAAAGCCACCAGCCCCTCTTGGGAAACCCTATTCAGGGTTGCTGTGAGTCAGAAATGACTCAACGGCACTTAGCAGCAACATTCATCACCAAAGCAGCCCTGGTAGTGCAGTGGGTTAAGTGTTGGGCTGCTGACAGAAAACCCATCAGCACCTCCAAAGAGGAAGCAGTCTGATCCCTTAAAGATTTACAGCCTCAGAAGCCCTAGGGAGCTCTACTCTGTCCTATAGAGCCACTGTGAGGTGGAATGGACTTTGGCAGGCCAGCCTCCCAGGGCCTAAAATAAGGTCAAACAATTTCAGTCATCTTTCATTTTAAAAGCTTCTGCTTAGAAAAAATCCATCGCCATCCACAGGCGCTGAAAAGAAACCATTGAGCACACAGAGAGTAAATAACGATCTTTGTTGCTAAACAAAGACGTTCACAAAGCTGACCTAAGTGAGAAGCATACCTCATGCTGTCAGGTGTCTTTTGTCCCATCATTTACGTAAGTAAACACAACAGCCCATTCAGATGAATTAGCTAAATATTAACATAGTAAGGCTTTGAGATGGAATGCATCAATTACAATAGAGCAGCGCCTTTGACTTTTTTTTTTTTTTTTTTTTTACGTAAAATACAAATCAGCAGATGTGTATAAATACTACCAGGCATGATTTTTACTTTCCCTACATCAAAAAAGTAGGGTAATAAGTTAGGTTCAAGCTCACCAGTCGCTTCTTGTAAACCCTCTACAGGGTCGCAATGGGTTGGAACCGGCTAGATGGCACTTAACGACAACAAGTTAGAGAATGAGAAATATGGCCCCTTTGTTTCTCTCTGACAAAGCTAAGCCCCACCAGGGAGGCTATAAGGCAACCAAAGAACACCCCAGAACTCAGGGGCTTCTGCAATTGTACCCCATGGCACTGGTACACTGGTAACCAGGACCTTTGTTTTGTGGCCTAAGGAACAATTTAAAGACTAAGGTAAAAGAATGCTGCTGGAATTTCTGGCCAGTAGCCACTTCCCTGGGGCAAGGTTTCACTGGGTAAAACCACACTGCCTATAAAATCTGATCATGCAAAACAGATAGTAGTAAGGCCATGTGGGACATAGGTACACATAATCTCATCCAAAATCACTGCAAAGCAAGGTGGGTGGGGCTGCCACAAATTATAATCAATAAAATGGAAACAGATCACCTACATGGCCAGAGATCCAAACCTGAGTTCACAATAGTCCCTCTCCCTGACCACCAATGAATCAGGGGCTCCCACAGAAAGGCTTGAGAGCCAAGTTCTTTCCGGTCCTGGGGTAGCAGTGATGGGTCACCCTCAACCCCCCAACTCCAATGAGTGCTAATGTCACACAGTCTTTGGTGACCAGGTCTCCCTTCAGATGCCAAGTTCATGATTATTTTTAGTAAGTAATATGAGACAGGGAGGAAATATTTTATTATGGTTTTTCCAGAAAGAACCCAGCTCGATGTGGAGCAAGAAGAACATATTGCTGGTATCCTTTATAGCTCTTTCCTCGATCAATACTGAAGACTAAACCTGGAAGCCAAGTCACTGCAGTTGAATGAAGTCTGGTCTGACTCACTGCAACTCTACAAGGAAGAGCAGAACTGCCCAGTAGGGTCTCCAAGGCTGAAAGCTTGATGAAAGCAAACTGTCACAGCTTTCTCCCACAGAGCAGCCAGTGAGTTCGAATCACTGGCCTTCCAGTTATGAGTACAGCGCTTAACCCACCATGCCACCAGGACTCCTGTGTACGTGGGTGTCCCAGGGTCTCCAAAGAACTAAAATGTAGCTGGAGAGAAACATGGGCCAGGTCTCCCTGAGCCAGCTCCTTTACCTCAGAGGCCCCTTTCATGTTACAGCAACGAGAAGTGTTCATTACTTGCATTTGGAGGAGCTGGTGCAACTCCCTGAGGATCTACAAAAGCAGAGCTGACCCTTACACATAGTAGGTGCTCAACAAAGACGCTTACTCGGTGGTATTTAAAATGGATCTGCAAGTCAAGAAGGTATCAGGATTCCAGGAAGTGCAAGAGCATCCACTTCATTTTCTTTCTCTGGCCTGGCTTAAGTATGACCAAGATGGTCTAAAGTCAATTAATGGAGGGAGAATTGTGACATAGGATGAGTTCTCTTACACCCATCTGTAAAGTCCTAGATGATAGACACATAGGTAATTAGATAGATAGATAGATAGATAGATAGATAGATAGATAGATAGATAGATAGATAGATAGATAGATGGATGGATGGATGGATGGATGGATGGATGGATGGATGGATGGATGGATGGATGGATGGACGGGTAGACAGATGGACGGTTGGACGGATGGATGGACAAATTGT